GGAGAATTCCAGTTGTTTCTTTTAGCATCACAGATGCTATATATAGGATTTTTTTATATCTAGAATATATATTATGTATTTTACTAAAAATATATATATATAAAATCTTCCATTCCAGGAAGAGCTTTCTTCCTTTTGTGAACAGAAGGTGGTTTTATCCCCTTGTGAAACATGAAACTGAGCCACTTTGCAGGTGCTGGGGGGACGCCAGCAGGCTGTTCTGGCAGCACTAGATCTGAAGTTGGGGGCATCTTTGCACCCCACAAGAAAGAAGGGTTTCAGCTTGCCCATGCAGCTCTCACCAGCAGGCTGGACACTGGTTGCACCGCATGTTTCTTTAGCTGCAGCTCTGCCTGGCTGTGTTGTATCAACAGGCTGAGTACGTGGCCTGTGAGACCACGTCTGCGCTTGGATTAAGCCTTGGAGGATTTGGCCATAGTAAATCTTTAGTTAAAAATCCAATGCCCATTTCTCCTTTAAATTTGAATAGCAAAGTCCAAAACGACTACATCGCTCTGAGTGAAATATTAAATTTTTACTCAATTTTGGTTTTGCTTTCTTCCTTTTTTTGAAAAAAAAAAAAACCAACCCCAAACCCTAATTTTTAAGCCTGAACTTTGCAAATATTGCTTTGGTTTCTAAGTTAATTAACTTTCTGACAACATTCCTTGTAAAGGCTAAAGCCTTTCCTGGCAAGTGATTAACAGCTGGGACAAGCCCTTCCATGAGACATGAGTTTTGCAGCCTGTTGTGTGGTCTCTTTGGCTGGGTCTGTAACACATTTCCGATTGTCTAAATATAAAGAGATAAAAAGGAAAGGGACTGCCAAACCCCACTGCATAATGTAAAGCGAGTCAGAGGGAAAAGGTTTACAATTTTTCTTCTTCCTTTTTACGTTGCTGGCTACATGTTATCTGTAGCCAGAAGATGCTAACATCATTTCCTCTCTATAAATCAGCTTGCACGTGATACAAAAATACAATATGACTTTCTTTTCTAACTTAATAGAAGTTTTGATACTTCGATGTTTTGACATTCAAGAATCCTGATTTAATCTCAGAACTGTTAAAACATCACTTTACCGAGCCAGTGGGTGTATATATTGCCTCAATGAGCCTTCTTTTTTAACTAAGCGGTAATATTTAGGATGGAAATTTGGAATTAATTGCAACAACCAATGTTTGCAAAGTGATGATGCTAGGACTTTTTCTGAGCTAGCACAGCATACGTCTACCTCTTTTATGGCTCTTCTGACATCTAATCCTATTTGAAGTAACAGTGTGATTGCCCCATGGATTTTAAGAACTGTGACTCAGTTGAAGCTGAATCAGAAAGAAGTTGTGCCTGTCTTCAATACTAAATGAGAGCCCGGTAAATCTAAGAAACAGCCTTAAAAGCCATCATGAAGTTTTTAACAGTGATTCAAATGAATAGTGATTCACCTACTTGTGTATGAAATATGAAACTTGTTTCTATTGCTCCCATTGTTGTGCCATCTGGGTACATCATGTGAAATAAAACGATACCAGTGACTGGCAAAAACTCCCGTGGCTTCACAAAGGGAAGCAAGAAAGTCAATGAATTGCTGCTCTTTTTTCCTGCTAAGCAATCTCCCAGTTTTGAGATTTACAGTTACTTTATTTGCAATGTAGCTGTCTACTATATAAATAACGGAAAAGGTGTGCCCTGCAAACGCATTTTACAATTCACTCACGAAGATATGAGGCTCTCCCACTTTGACAGTCATTGTAGTTGGTCACAAATGGAAACTTTCTGAACAGCTCTGGTATTTTGAAAGTTGTGAAACAGTCATTCTCGGTCGTGGTTGAAACCCTTCCCGTTGTGATACCCGACACTTAATGCGTCATCAGCGGCGTGCGTGAGCTGCCACAGGCAGGTCAGGCCCGCGGGAGGTCACGGAGGGATCATTTAACAGGTAGGACATCGTATTGGAGGCCACGTAAGAAAATACACCATGCTTCACATGGGTCTTGGCAGCAAAGATCCCTGGAACAGACCTTGGTGCCGTCGTGTATAATTAGAGTTGATTTTAGCGTCAGCATGTCAGGCTCCGGACTGTCCGTGAATCTGGGGGTGACAGGCTGTCTATCAGATGTCTCGGGGGGGGGGCTTTGGCTGGCCGAAGGCTTCAGTTTCCAAGGGGCAGTGCAGCTGTCAAGAAGCACTATTAAAGCAGTATTTAAAAGCCCCGTTGCAGGATGCGTGCAAAGGTTGCGTGGGTCACAGGTAGCTACTAAGTCCCCAGCGTAGGCGTCGTGCGGCTTAGTCTAGGACTGCTGTATTTTGGTTTTGGGCTTGCCCAAGGTGTCCACGGCAGCAGGCAGGCTTAAAAGTGCCCACAGGGGTCTCAGATGCCGTTTTCTATCGAGCGGGAAACCATGTGTTTTAAATGCATTTTTTCTCAAAGCTAGTGGCTGCGCTGACTACCAGCAGAAAGCTGCCATGGTAGGTACCTTCAGCTACAGACACCTCCGCTTCCCAGGGAGGATCAACTATTTTGTGAGGAGTTGGATAAGCCCTGAATGTTTGCGTGCTGAGGAGCTGAACTTACGGTGTCCTTCTACTAGCTAAATGGCAAGCCAAACATAGCTTTCCTCATCGCCCTTTTTCTCTGTGACTGCTCCTGGGTGGTATTTATTCCTTACGCTGTCATCTGTTAGCTTGTTAAGCACAGAAGATTGACACGTGCGGACAGCACCCGACTAATCAGCCGGCTCCAGCCCTGGTCTGGTGCAAGGTTTCTGGTGGAGGTTTCACAGGATTTGCGGCGTGGCAGATACAAGGTGCGTAGGGACTAGCTCCTTATTACAGCAGCTCCCACGGCCAGCAGACAGCAGTTAGAGCAAAGGTATTGCAGAAGGTCCTTCTTTCTGGAAGAAAAAGAGATTTGCAAAAATAGATATAAGCCCGGTGTGTCCCCCACTGATTGCTATCAAATGGAAGCGTATGGGAACTTTGCCATGGAGTACTTATGTGTAAATGCATCCTGTTGTCACCACGTGGCCAAGCCTTGAGGTTTTAAGAACCATCAAAAGTAATATCCAAGGCTTCCTTTCTAGGGAAAGGATCCTGATCAGATCAGTAAGTAGTACGCAGGTGGTTGTCTGGGAAGTATGTTGATACTAGAATTGTTGACAGTAATCTGGTAACTCCTATTTTACAAAGTAACTTTACAAAACACATGGAGACCTGTTAGAAATGCTTTCAATATGTCTATTAAACAGTTGAACTTGATTGCTAAGGGAGATGTCATTGCAGAGCAGAAACAGCGAGATATTGGCCTGACAGGCAAATACACAGATGTCCAGTGCAATCACGGGAAAATTATTTGTTGGTGTGTCATTGGATATCAATTTCCTTTAATTCGACCACCCCGTGTATCTGTGAAGTATCACTGCAGCAGTACAACTGCAAGTTAGGCTAACGAAGCATCTTAAGGGACCTGGTCAGGTTTGTCACTGGGATTT